AGGAGGCGGCGGTGGCAGCGAACCGGGGCGCCATGCACCACCAGCGGGTGCTGATCAACATCTCGGGGCTGCGCTTCGAGACCCAGCTGGGCACCCTCAACCAGTTCCCTGACACGCTGCTGGGGGACCCAGATAAGCGCATGCGCTACTTCGACCCGCTCCGCAACGAGTACTTCTTCGACCGCAACCGGCCCAGCTTTGACGGGATCCTCTACTTCTACCAGTCCGGGGGCAAGCTTCGCCGGCCTGTCAATGTCTCCATCGACGTCTTCGCCGACGAGATACGCTTCTACCAGCTGGGTGAGGAGGCCATGGAGCGCTTCCGAGAGGACGAGGGCTTCATCAAAGAGGAGGAGAAGCCCCTGCCCCGCAACGAGTTCCAGCGCCAGGTCTGGCTCATCTTTGAGTACCCCGAGAGCTCCGGCTCTGCCCGGGCCATTGCGATCGTCTCTGTGCTGGTCATCCTGATCTCCATCATCACCTTCTGCTTGGAGACCCTGCCAGAATTCAGGGATGAGAGGGAGATGCCTGTGCCCCTGCCCCCACAAAGTGGAGGTTTGAATGGCACGACTGGGGACTCCCCACCCATGCAGCCACCCAGTAGCCTCTCTGATCCCTTCTTCCTCATTGAGACCACCTGCGTGATCTGGTTCACCTTTGAGCTTCTTGTCCGCTTCTTCGCCTGCCCTAGCAAGCCTGAGTTCTCTCGCAACATCATGAATATCATCGACATTGTGGCCATCATCCCCTACTTCATCACCCTTGGCACTGAGCTGGCCCATGAGCAGCAGCACCCTGGGTCTGGCAGTAGCAATGGGGGCGGGGGCCAGCAGCAAGCCATGTCCCTGGCAATCCTCAGAGTCATTCGCCTGGTCAGAGTCTTCAGGATCTTCAAGCTCTCCAGGCACTCCAAGGGTCTGCAGATCTTGGGACAGACTTTGAAAGCCAGCATGAGGGAGCTGGGCCTCCTCATCTTCTTCCTCTTTATTGGGGTGATCCTCTTCTCCAGTGCTGTCTACTTTGCTGAGGCTGATGACCCTGAGTCACATTTCTCCAGCATCCCTGATGCTTTCTGGTGGGCAGTGGTAACCATGACCACTGTGGGCTATGGGGATATGCGACCTGTCACTGTGGGGGGCAAGATTGTGGGTTCCTTGTGTGCCATTGCAGGTGTGCTCACCATTGCCCTCCCTGTCCCTGTCATCGTGTCCAACTTCAACTACTTCTACCACCGAGAGACTGATCATGAGGAGCAAGCTATCCTCAAAGATGAACACAGTAGTGCACAGGGCAGCACAGTGGGGGGAGATGCAAAGACAAGATCCAGCAGAAACTCTCTGAACAAATCTGTTGTGCACTTGGAAAACAGTGAGGGGTTCAACAATGGCACCAGCTCCTTAGAGAAAACCAATATCAAAGCAAAAAGTAACGTAGATCTCAGAAAATCCCTCTATGCTCTCTGCCTGGACACCAATAGGGAAACAGACCTATAAGGAGAGGAGAGAGTTAGAGTTCAGAGAAGCAGAAAGATTTACTGGTGTCAGAAACTTACTACAATAATTATTCTTTTGGTACCAATTAGTTTTTTAAATCAGGCTATATTTTATAAATTGATCACTGTCCTGAGTAGTCCTCCAGGAATACATGTTTTTATGTTCTTTTTCCATGACACAAAGGGTCACCTATTTTTAAAATAGACTAAGAATAAGCTACGCTCCATGATGCAGGAGCTGGTAAATTATGACAGTGCAAAATCTAATTTGTAGAAACTTATTTTAGCAAATGGTGGTTGGTTTTAAATGGCTTTTTAAATGGCTTTGTAACCCATTCTGTTGCTCCAAGTTTAGTATTAAAGAGTTGGGGGATGTATGTGTGGAGAATGAATGGATTGAGGGGGGAGGGAGGTTGAAGTTTTTTGTATTGTAGTTTCTGAAATTATATAATATATTTTATATCTGTATAACTGTATTTATGGTTGAAAGGGGATTTCTTATTCCTGTGAAATACAACATCGTTAAAGCACTAGGAACATTAGCAGATCAGCACTTTCAGAGTTTTCCACTTGTGATCAGTACAGATCTGGTTATCTTATATGTGAAGTGAATTTGGTGCTTTTAACCCTATAGCAGAAAACTTTTATTGTCATTGATATGTTAGTTTCTTGTGAGCCTTAAATTATTAAATATTGTAGATATAATTCTTTATAAATAATTTTATTAATTACCTTACTCTTTCCGAATTTCTAAATAATTCAGTCCTGTGCTTATCGTCCCCACCCAAAAAAATGTATGTGCAGCTTTTTTTTGTAGTTTTACAGTTTTATACCTTTGTTATATATTTAAGACCGAAAGAAAAAAATTGTTGTCTGCTGTTCAACTGCTTTCGATCCAAGTGCACAACAGATCAAAAACATGAGGGAGTGGATAGATACAACAAGAAAGTAGAATATGAGTGCAAGATCTGCAAAACTATTTTCATTGTACGCTCCAGATTAGTTTGGCATGTGTATCAGTCACCTTTATGTATCCATACCATCTGTGTACACAGTTCACTGTTTTTAATTATCATAGACTGGAAACGGACGGCACTTAAAGAGTCTAACATGGCATGCCGTGCTACTTAAATAACCATTGCGTGGCTTATATCTTCGACTCAGACGGAAAGCATCACCTTTCATCAAAACACATCATTGGTTTTTATTTCCAAACAAAACCTTTTCAGTGCTGTGGATTTTACAAGTTAAGATGCTGTTGAAAGACGAATGAAACACTGTCTTCATGGTGATAACACAGCACTGTACAGCTTGCTAGTGAAGACTGACACAAAGTTGCTTCTTTACATCAAAGAGCTGTGTTACCATTTTTCTTGCAAAGGACACCTCTGTTTTCCCTTCAAACTTACGTTTTATTGCTGAAGGATGTTTCATGCCTTTACCACCTACAGTGGCACAGCAAGACTTGCAGAAAGAGAAGTCTTGATTGTCAACGCTCAAGGTTTGTTTCTAACAAATTTTCTAATACAACTAAGTAAATACTAAATCAGGATTATAATTTATGCAAGTACCTCATATATATGTACTGTGATAAATTTGAATCAGCTTTGCAAAACAGTGCTTTTGGCATTCTCTCGTCCAGATGCAAATTCTGATTACCTGTCCCTTACCATGCCGCTTAATGATAATGGCCAAAAGCATGATGTTTTTCCTTCCTATTCAGTAAAACAGGCATGGTAAGTGCCAAGCAAGTAGTTTTTCATGTTTGGTATAAAGAACTGTCACACAGAGCTCAGCCCAAAGCCCAGGGGGGGAGGGGGGAGGAGGTTGAATCTGATAATAGAGAAGAGGATCTTTCACATTCATTTTAGATGTTGGCTTCCTGGTTGGTTTGCTTGTTTATTTAGATGGAGAATGATGATGTAGTATGCTGAGAAACTGCACGAAAACTGGTAGATGAAGTGCCCAGTTCAGACACAGGCAGATCTCCTGATTGCTTTAGTGAGAGTTTTTGCATCCAGGTGAAGTGCAGAATTAGCCCCTTGGTGAGACTGAATCTGAAATGAAACAAAGAAGTAGTATAATTGCCTGTTGTACATGCTGAGATCTAGATTGTTGATGGACTTATGGTGAAGCCTTTTGTTCAGGCAAATAGTTTGATTTACTTTCAGTGATTAAATCCATGTGACTCACCTGAATAAGTACCAAACAATGCAGTGAGTCTTTCAGGATCAAATTTCGGTTGTGTCTTCCTCTAATTACTACCCCCACCTTCCTGACCATGTTTGTCTTCCATAGCTTGCCTCTCCAGTTGCACATTGTGCTGAATTAGACTGTCAAGCTCCTCCGAGCAGGGGCCATGTGTACATACAGTCCCTTGTTTAACAGTGGAACACTGCTTACGGCCAGGGCTTCTGGATATTAATGATCTGGATTACATAACAGTAATTATTGCAATTAGTGGAGTAACACCGGTGTAAAGCTGATGTAGGTGAAAGCAGATCAGGGCTATGGGAAGTGGGTCGAATTGATCTTAAAAGCCCATTGCTGATGGAAAGGGAAGGCCTTGTCTTCCTTTTCAGTTTTCTTCCTTCCATTGCGTGCCCTTTTGTTGCTTACCCTGAACTGGTTCTGTTCTCGTGCAAGTATGTGTGCAAGTGCTGCATTCTCTTCCAGGAGCTCCTTGAGCTCACTAATCTGGCAGAAAATCCAATGCAGCAACAACAGCGACAACAAAGTAGGTCTTTCTCTGTCAAATTAGTGAGTTGGAAAGCAAGTGAGTGCCAGAGCCAGTGCAAGGAAGGGATGGGGAAGGTCAGTGGTGCGGGGAAGTGAAGAAGCAAGGAGGTGTGAAATCCTCACCCTTCAGTGGCAGTGAACTGTTAGATTATCACGACTGCTTGTTGAACCCCACTTCATGTTTGCAGAGATGCCACAGGACTTGGTCTTGCAAGGTGTTGGGGGCCTTTAACTTCCCACTGGAGCCAGTCTGCAAAATTCAGCTCTGGATTCCAGCATATGTGCCCTGCTATAACTGAGGGTAGAATTTGCCCCAATCAAGATCAAGCTCTATGAGAGCAAAATACCCTGATTGCTGCAGAGGGTTCTATGCAAGCTTGTCAAATCATTCCTTGACCTTCAGTTTGAATGTGCTGTGTTTTTCCATAATAAAACAACAGACCTTTCCAATAAAAAGAAAACCAATTATTCTCAAAATATGGTTGGAAATATTTGTTTGGCTTGGCTTTCTAAACAGTTGTCAAGCACAGTTCAGGCAAACTCAGCTTTGACACCTTCTTTACAAGGATGCATAATTTCTATTGGCTTATAAGGCAGTAAAGGATTTGCTTTCTAATGAGAGAGGTTGCTGCCAGACACTGAGTAATACAGCGAGGAACATGGTTAGATCACAATTCAGCAAAGTGCTTAACATGGGCTCAGCTTTAAGTACATGCTTAAATAAAGCATTATTCAGCAGGTATTTTAGATGCACTGATCTTTGAGATTGTTGCTTAAAGATGGACTACATACCTTGGTTAAAACCTTAGAGCCATCAGTTCCCTTCAGACTTGGGTGCAAATATTTAGGTATATGCTACAGTTTTTGAGCCTGAAAACAAGTGGTGCTGCAGGACGCTAATCAGAACACCAGATTCTCACTACAGAAAGAGTGCCTATTCCTGCAGCCACTACTCATCAGAACAGTCCTCTTGACGTGATCAGTTGCAAACTGAGTACCAGGATTGTCTGCATGACGAATGGCAACTTTGGCCTGGATGAGAGTGTAATTGCACTTTCCAGCAGTGAGAACCTGCTTTTGCTGTAATTGATTTTGGTGTCGAGAAGCTTCATTGAGTTCAGTAGGCAGCATGTATCTGTACATGGGATACAAACAGTGCAGAAGCCTCATAACATGCTGATGCAAATTTCTGCTGCAAAAGAATATGAGAGGAAGAGAGAACCAAACCACTCTGAGAAAGCTCCTGTAAATGTGAAACAGGAAGAGAATTTAGGCTATGTATGCCAGTTCTAGGCTCATTATAAGAAGGAAATCTGTCCAAACCATTATTGATTTTATGTTAGCTGACCTGGAATGAAAAGCAAGCTGAATAAAACCTCTTTAGAATATCAAAAGCCACAAGATGTCAGTTCTCAATGAATAGCAAATCATTGTTAATGTAAAAAAACCCCAACACTTTTTTGCACACTCTTTTGACTAGGAGGTACGTCATGGGAGATTTCTCACCCTACACACGCCTATATGCCATAGTTATCAATGGCTTGTCATTTTGTGCAGGGCAGTATGTACTGAAATGCATTACCCTTCCATTCTTCCATCTTAGGGATGCTGAAGTGAATATTCTCTTGGGTCACCAGTAACGTAAGTTTAGTTTGCTTAGCCTGGTCCCAAGGGGAGTCTACATTCCTATTTTACTTTTCCATCATTCTAAAAAATGATAAAACAGTAACTAGCAGTCATATAACACCATTCACCTCCTAGCACTTTATGAACAATAGTACAATGATCTTCTGTATACAAACATGGTAAAGAAAAGGCTGTGGAAGGGAAGACCGAGCCTTTCGAAGGGGGAGAGGGGTAGGAGAGGCACAAAAATGAGTGGGTTTGTCTGGTCTGGGACATCCACAATGTGAGATCTCAGGGACAGAGGGAAGGGAGGAGAGAGATTCACCCTGTAGTCTCCTTCCTGGTCTCTTGCATGGCTCTCGGTGGCTCTGCAGGCAAGGACTGTATGCCAGCATCTGTGCACTGTGACCCATCTGGTGGGGTCACTGAACACAGAGGGAGAGTTAATGCTGCTTTGAGCAGCATGAAAAAATCCCTCTTTTGTGTGCTTTTTTTATTTGGACTCTGTAGGGAGAAAATGACACTTCTGCTGGCTGTTCTCTGGCATCTTGTGCTGCAAACACGGCTGTTCTGGTGGTGGTGATGATGGGGGCTCTTGATTCACAGCACACTGAGCACTGCTCTGAAGTGTCTTCC